GAAGACCTCACGCCAGCAATTTGCAACATAGGCAGGGGCCTGGATTATCTCTTTGTGTGCGACTTCATTAATTACAGTTTTTAAGGTCTTCTCGGTAACCTGAACTCGGACTTCATGTGCCTCTAGAATGTCATTCAACTCATCCTCTTCAATGCTCTCAAAGCTGCTCATTTCTCTAAGCAAATCCTCCCGCTCGATAACCGGTATGAAATCCAAATGTGCATCTACTAGTGTGTCCTCAGAAACTTCATTCTCCATGATTGACTCTATGAAGGGCCAAGCCAACTGAGCAGGGAAATATCTTTCCTGACGATATCCTACTACCAGTACTTTTACACACGCCTCCCAGTCAGCTTGAGACACGTTATGTCTTATTGCCGGGACTTTCAATGTCTCACCAACTGTATACTGTTCATAGAATTCCTCCCAAAATTCAGTGACTGCATCTCTGAAAACACCACCATTATCCTCCCCGGCCTCCTCAGACCCATTTGGAAGAATCATCTTTATCTCAACTCTGGTCTTCACGTCATGATGTTTGTAGTAGTCTATCATTTCTCTCAGAACGTGTCCTCTTTGCACACGAATAGTTTCCACAGTGGAGACTTCTTCCTGATAACCAGTACTGACCATTACAGGCACAATATTGTCACCCTCGCTGCTCACCAGGTCATCATGGGGTGCATGAGTAGGGTGTGGGGCAACGACTTTCTAGTGGATCGACGTCAAGTTCCCCGTCTGAAATAACAAAATGCTGATTCTGAATATCATCGGCAGCCACTGGAGAATCCTGAACAACCTCTTCAGTCATGCCCCAATGATCTGTCTTGATCTGAATAGAAGGTGTGCCTAAATCAACAAACTGTAACTCAAAATCTGAAGTAGAAGAGCTTTGATCTTCTGATTGTCCTGCAGCCCATGATGTCGATGGACCAGTTGCTCCATTAGATGCTACATTGTTCTGTACTTTGCCTTCCGATCTGTGTTCTTGTACCTATAATTAAAAAAAATAAATAGGTAAAAGATAAGTCATATCCTTGATTGGACGTAGCCTGACTTGAAACAAGAATTATTCATAATTTGTAGGCACTGGCACTTTTGAATAAAAGGCTAAACGATAAGCTGACTTATCTCTTACAATAGTGGACAAATTTTGCCCTCCAATTAGAGAATCAAAGAAAAAAGAAAAAGTCATTAAAGAATAAAGAAAGTCAAGTTGATTGGAGCAAGATTCGAACCAGCGACCTTTTAAACCGTGCAAGTGATACCAACTAACCTATCCAGCCCTATGTTGGTGGTGTTCCTATTAGTCAACTATCTTTGTTCGTTAGACAGTCAGAAGCCATGAAAGTTGAAACCACTCACATACTTATCCTAAGAATCACTGAAGATACGAGTACATTATTAGCAATGCTTCAACCTGAGAAACAATACGTACACAGGGATCACTCGGAGAGGATGCGGCTGTTTAATCAATATGCTCAGCAAATAAGCAGATTGAAGAATGAACAAAGAAAGGTTGACTGGACTGGAGACATAACAATGAGGTAGCTTACCAGTTCAGGAATTGTGCTGTTGTTTTCCAGTACGGGCACAGACGAATTGTTTTGCTTGGTTTGGGTCTTCTTGACTTCTATTAAATAATTATTATGACAATGATAAAAATACTAACTTATAACAAAGTAAAAATAACAGAATCACAATACAGTAAAATAGATGAGTGAGAATTGTACTTTCGCATTCTCATAGTAAAGTGAACAAATGTATATCTCTGAAATATCACCTAGCCCATGAACTTGAATTTCGGCACATCATTCTGGAATTCACCAATTTTAACTTAATCCGCATCAAACACAACTAAATGTAGTCATTTCTCAAAATGAAAATAATGACATTTCCAATTATGCCCTCTTACCTGGAGTTTTTTGGGGTTCCAATGACTTCTTTCTGTAGTAAGGTTTGAGTCTTTTCTTTGGGCTTCTTTGTGGCATCTCTAATGCCGATAATTCATCGGTAGATTCTTGATCGCGTTTTTTCGTTGCGAGATAGAGATGAAGGATTCTGGGATTCATATGTTTGTACATTTCAGCAACTGTAATGTCAAGAGTGAGAGGATTGTGAGTATTATCAGTGATGAAGCAATCGTGGTCAGCTAAATCTCCTCTTCTACTTGTGCCTTCAGGAAAAAATAGCTGTTTGCTTTTGTGCAGCACGTCGTTCATGGTAGCGTCGAAATCAAATTCTACATTCCTTGTTCCTCCTCCCGAGGGCCCCCTGACCTGCTTATACTGGTTTGTGTCCTTGCAGAAATCAAGCCAGCCAATATCCACTCTTCTTTTGGATCTCTTGGCGTTTTCGTTTCCAATGTGTTTTTCTCGCCCTGAGTAATGACCAGATGACATTGCCTTTCCCTGAAATCTCTCCTTCACCC